CTATCGGGTAAAAAAATTCATCTCAATACTAATTCATTATGGCCCTAAATAATAACTACGCTGCCACAGCAGACGTTAAAATTTGATGTTAAAATTAATTTATTTAATTGCCATCGCTTATAAAATACCAGCAACAGTCAATCAGCAACAAAACTATTGTGAGTTCCAGCCTGTGGCCCCAAAATGCAATACATTTTCATTAACAAGACTGTTGCCCTCGATTAATTCTCATTTTTTTCCATTTCACTGCAGTGATGAGTATCGTTGCATCACAACATGTTTATAGCGTCCCAGAATACAAAAAAAAAAAATCATTTAATGAAAGTCCTCTCCAGGCATCGACATTACTATTTGCCTTATTGGCTGCCATGGCAAGAAATCACAAACGGCGATCCTCTGCTAGTGAAAGGTCGTTTACAGGATCGACAGCGACTGGCTGCAGGGAAACGCTATATTACATGAAACATTAAGGCCGAGGCAGCAAGCAATAATGTTTGAAATAAGCAACTCTTCTTTCTTCCTAAACAATATATTTGGACTGAACGGAAACTTGATGAAAAGTAGCCTGAGCAGGTTATTATACAATTTCAATATTGTTTGACTTAAGGACGTTAATTTATTAACGTTCATCGTAACGTAATTGTTAATTCATACGTAACGTACTTTATTAATATGGTTATTAATTACCAAAGTAATTAATAATCATGGCAATGTAGTATGGAATCACAGAAGAAAGCAATGAAACACATCCACAGTGAGGATTTAGCTCAGTGGGAAACAGAAATTGATGTAGTCTTCGTTGCGATTATTGTACCGGATCAGTATTAGGTTATCAGACCAATATTCAAGCCATTTTTGAGTAATTATCTGAAAAAAACTGAGCCGAACTATATGAATTTATGCATATGTAGGTTACTTGATTATTTTAGTCTCTGCCATCGTAAAATTTAATAGGTTGCGTATTTTTTGTCTATGCGTAAAGCCTCATTAAAATAATTTATTTGTGCAGACTTTCATGAATAATTATTACAGACTGTACGACTGAAAATGAACACAAACACAACCGGAAGCTAATTTATGCTAAGATTGCGTGAGCATAAAGATTGCATCATACGATCAGATATTTCCCTTAAATGGTCAACGAGTCAGCTCACAAATTTTTACCCACTCAATCATAGATAAATGCATGTAAAAAAGTCACTAGATTGCTTTAATCGCAGATTCACTAGAAATTTAAAAGCGAAGAAAACACCACAAAAATTTAGCATATCTCTTTTGAAAACGTTTCGGAGACCAGCTCCATCGTCAGTTCGATAAATCTAGAACACAGATAAATGCAGAAAATTAGTTTGGAGTTAATAAAAAAAAACACACAGAAGTTAAAAACCTAAATCTGTGTTCTAGATTTATCGAACTGACGATGGAGCCGGTCTCCGAAACGTTTTCAAAAGAGATATGCTAAATTTTTGTGGTGTTTTCTTCGCTTTTAAATTTCTAGATAAATGCATTAATTATATTTTATTAAATTAGCATTCCACAATCTTGCTCAATGTATATAGGTAAACTTGCAGGTAGCGTTCTCCATCATTGTACATAAAATAAAGGCCACCATTCAACACCTATTCAACGATAACTGAGAGTAAGGAATTACTGAAGAAATTGGGTGCGTGTGATGATTCTGTAACAGCATAATAAATTGAAATAAAATAGCTTCGATAACAATTTACTATAAACTTTTCATTGATATCAAGTGTTATTAACGCTAACATAAATAAATTGCAGTGAACGTTCCATTTTATCGGTCAGAGTTAATTCTTGAGAGACAAGCATGAAAGGCGGGGTATTTTCTTCAGGTTGATGTGCTGCTTTCGTGTTGCACAGCCAATCTAGAATTGCAAAAATTTCCAAAATTTTCCTAGAAAGAAGTTCATTATAGGAACCACTAGCTTGCGATCGTTGTTGGCAGTATCTTGATGGCATCAAATTATTCCGTCTATCTCGGCCATGCGAACAGCTGACGTAGTTTACGAAGAGGAGATGCTAGGCAAGCATCAACAAACAAAGACGGTCATGTGAACACAGCCTGTGAAGGCTGCCTCCGTCCGTAAAATGTCTTGCTGTCTTAGCTAAAAACATGCAAAACGGGTTTTTGTTCGAATTTTTCGTGAGGTAAAAATATTATCTTAGCTTCATTTGCTCCATATTTTTGCACTGAAATAGGAATTCAAAAATATTTCATCAAAAATGCGTACATGTCAGTAATACCTACAGCATTGAAAGAGAAAACCTTCAACTGACTTGGGTTTTTTAAATTTAGTTCCTCTGTAGTATTTTTTCTTGCTTATCATTTCAAATGTTGTATTGCCTTGCTCACTCCTAATTTTATCGATCATTGAATATGACCATGTTTGATGAGATCCAGTAATATTTGAAGATCAGTTGGTTTCGACTTCACAATATCCCTAACTTGTCTGCACCATAAAATAGTCTGAGTAAACCACCTCAAAACTTGGAGTATAGACCGAAGAAAAGAATTCGAGTCCTGAAGCCACACAAAGTTTCAGAGAAGTCTTATTCTTCAAGATTTTGCCGCAATTCTTTCATGGCTACGAACAGTTTTCAGGGAGTCATTTGGTAACAATCTCGTTGGGACGGCTCCTAGGAAAATATGTTCCTCCCCTTTGGGTCATAAGCAATACAAGTGAAAAGCAGGCATGCTTGCAATAGGATTATATGTAAACCATGCTATTCGTACGAGAAGGTGATACGGAAAGAACTGCACCTCTTATTTTGTCTCTGTTGAGTCGTGAGCAAAACAAAACAGATGCGGGCTGCCTGCAATAGGATTATTTTAGAACCATGCTATTCGTACGAGAAGGTGATGCGGAAAGACCTGCACCAAGTTTCGTACAGAAAGGCCATTTGACCGTTTTTTTCCAGTGAGCATTGTCTAAATACTCCCTGGGATATTCTTCAGTTATTGAAAGACTGTAGGCCTCGAAAAAGAAAATATTGTTTTCAGTCGACTTGTGGCCATTGCTGTGCCTCTTCTAGAATACTTTGGGCATGGCCAAATTTGTTAAATAGATGAATGGTTTTTGGAGAAAATTTCCCTTTAAATGAACTCTCGCATAAAATGGTCACGTAAACTTCAGCACAAAATAGAAACGTAACCTAACGCCTTACGATTAAAATTATAATATTCAACCATGTGATCAGTAATGAGTTCATAAGTAAGATCAGTTAAAATGAGAAATCATGTAAATTGAACTTCTCTATAATTAAAGAACTCTAGTACTGTTTAAGTAGACTGTGTGCAAATCAAGTTCTTGCTACGAATAAACTCATTCTTAAAATTTCTATGCATTTTCTCAGAACTATAATGATTTAAATGCTAATTGAGTAACTGTATGATCTATTCGAGATTCATATTGAACATTATTTCCTAGCGTTTGCAAAGTATATTCTAGTAAATTTACAGGCAAACAATTCGTGACTCTAATTGCATTCCAGGCGCCGGAAAATTTTTTACCGAAGACTTTTCGTCAGGGAATTCTGTGAACAAGATCACTTCTGGACGCTATTCGAGATTTGTCGTATCGATCTCGGCAGCGAAGTGGTCGAGGTTGCCAGCTTCATTTTGCATGCCAGCGTCACAAGCAGGAGCATCAGATTGGATTATTTTCGGTCAAACTGAGTTGTTTTGAAGGCTGGCTGCATAAATTACAGCAAGGTAGGCTCTCGTTCGGAAGTGGAGGATACATTCCAGCGCAGTAATCTAATTGCGTATTTTCCTCTAATTGCGTATTGATGGCTCAGAGATTAGGTATGAGCTCTAATTAATTCCTAGAACTCTTGATTAACAACGAAAAAATTGATAAAGAAAAGAAATAGGAAGTGTAAAAAACAAATAGGTTTTACTGTGGCAAAATAAAACTTTTATGGTTAATTTTATTCAAAAGAGGGCACTTCTCAAATAAACTTTGCTTGTAAAAACTGGATGAATTATTATATTAAAAATAAACGATTATTAAGCGTCTCATATGAATTTACACAACATATTATTCAAAAATTTATTTCCGAAATAATTTTACCAGCAAACTAAATGAAAAATTTACGTGTTTTCTTTTCAGCAAAACAAATTCCGAGTAAACTATTGCTGCGGGAAAACTTGACGAATCTAAAAGCCGAAGAGTTTGCACAGAAGCGTGACCACAACTTCTTCAATTTTTTATTATTACTACTTTTTGACAATCCGGCAAAGAAGAATGACCATGAATTCTTATGCCTCCTACTCCTTCGAATTCCAGCAATCCTGTAAATAGCGCTACCATTACTTCTTATGCTCCTACTCCTACGTTCCGGCAATCCTGCAAAGAATCGTGACCATAATTTTTTATAGCTCTTACTTCTACGGTCCGGCAATCCTGCAAAGAATGGTGATCATAATTTTTGATAACTCTTACTCCTACGTTCCGGCAATCCTGAAAAGTAGCGCTACCGTTACTTCTTACGGCTCCTACTCCTACGTTCCGGCAATCCTGCAAAGAATCGTTACCATAATTTTTTATAGCTCCTACTCCTACGTTCCGGCAATCCTGCAAAGAGGCGCGAGCATAGCCTTTATGACTCCTTCGTTGATCTGGAGAAGGAATGCTGCGGCCATGAACAATATTTGATTGTCAGGTTATGGCTACTCGAAGCACGTACTATCGTTGCGTAACTGAAATTTCTTGCTACTTTTTATTATGCAATTCAAGCAACAGTATTCATATTTATTGTTAAAAAGTAGCTTATATTTTACCTATTTAAGTTAAACGAATTAATTATTGTTGAATAGTGTGTCTAAGATGTGTCTTCTTATAATTAATAATTAAACAATAACTTAAAACCTGTAATTCTGATATTTCTTTCTATTGTTTGAGCTCCGTTCGTGCCACCAACTTTCATTATCGACAATAAAAGTTTAAATTGCTAATATACTGCATATCTGTCGCCAGGCTGGTGGTGGTCTCCGTGATATATGGCGTGATGGGGGGAGGCAAGGACGTGTCAGGATGCTGGGGGGAACTCAAGGAACACCTCATAGGATACTTCGTGCTGCTGTCATCCTGTATCATCGTCGAGGCCTTCATCGCGTACGTCGCCATGCGAGGCACCATCCTTGATCCTGAGCCTCGGGCGTCCATGCAGTATCTTCTCTACGTCCGGCTAGGTAGAAAAAATCATTTCTCTTTATCTTTTCTCATAATTCTTCTTGTCAATTCAGATAAATGTGTAACGATACACTATCCGGCTTCAATATAAAAAATATAACTCTGTACTCAATGCAGTGAGTGACAGAGAGCGCATTTTTCTCAGAATCGACGAAAACCTGAAGTCACGGACAGACAGACGGACGGATGGACGGACATGACGAGCACAATAGGGCATTTTTTCCATGTTTTTATAGTAGTCTCCGCTTCGTACTTGGAATGAAATTTCATGTTTTTAGAAATATTCCTTTTACAACTTCAGGCTAGACTAGATGTTCCAGAACTAGACGCTTCACTATAGGGGCCGAGGAGACATTCTGAATGGGGCTTAACTAGAGGAACTAATTTTCATACATCATGCCAATTGAAAAATTTTGTTATTTCTAAATATATATGGGAGTCGCGACAATAAGCGTTCAGGTGTCAGTAGAATTGCGGTCTGACTGCGAGGATACATAATACTGGATGTTCTAACGGACTAAGAAGATATTATTAATTATTAAATAATTATTGATCATTAGTAAATAGCAGAGTGCCAATATTTACCAATATTTACAGCGAAAAATGAGTTAACTGTGCGATGGCATGTAAAGGAATTACATTTTCAGTTTATCTGCAGATTTTAGCCGCGCCGAAGTGGACCGATATATACCTCTCACTGATGATTATTACTCATATATTATTAACTATGAATAGAAAGGACAGAAAGTATTTATTACATGGAAAGCTTTGTAAATTCAGCATTGAAGTAGCTTCTCAGCCAGGGTTCATTAAGATTACCGTGGTCTGCACTCAATGTTGAAAATGATGTCGGAGCGCTAGTTCAAGAACAACAATCAAGTTTCTAGAAAATGTGAAGAGGAGGACGGTTAAATACAGCAACAATAAAAGTAGTGAGAAATATTCTTGTCTTTCTTGCGAATATCGAAGTTCTCGATGTTTCATTACTTTATACGGTAGTTCACTTTTAGATTTTATTCTCAAGTGGTATTCTCTCGTTCATTTTATTTTAACATATTTTTGTATTGTATGTAGGTACGATGGAGTTGCAAAGTAATTTAGCAATATTATTTTTGGCGCTGGAGTGAAAGTTGCGGTGTAAAATTTCTCACAAAATTTTTATTGAAAATGCGCACTTAACTCAAATTCAAATGCATTAATAGATGATATGTAATAGATGAGAGATATGCACTCGGGGTAACAAAATGATGAGTCATATTAATTAAGTAGATCTTATTATTCACTTCCAGCTACCAGGACACTCCTGTTATGCATCGTTTGAAGTAACGATAACAAATGGGAATCAATATAAAAGAAAAAATGTAAAATATTTTGTGTCCAGCACAATTTTTTTAACTATTTTTGCTCATAAGTTCTTTTATGCGACCTGTAAATACTAGTACACTTAATATTCTTCATGAAATTCATGCACAAATATTCTGTTATTGAGCTAAAATTCGTACAATAGTCCTAAAAGCTATTGAAAAATATTCATTTTAATGATCTAGGTTCATTATTTTTTGCATATTCAACTATTGCACATATTATCGTGAAAAGTTTTTGGAAGGCATTATGACAGAGAATAAAAGTTTTCATAAGGAATATGAAAATTTGGAAAATAGAGGTCGCAAATTTGTCCATTCAGTTGAGTGACTCGGAAGGAAATAACGTTCGGTGATTGTAGGACTATATATGGCCAAGCATTTACAGTAAGCTTAGCACCCTCCCTCAAGGAAACAACGAGGAATCATTTAATATGAATCCTCAATGCATGTATCCATGATACTGTCACAAATATTAACAGAAAGTCCCTACCGAGCCGTCCAAGAAGCAAGCAGCTCTGCTCTCAACGGAGAGTAGGTATCTCATTTCAAATCTTGTTTTCGCAATTTCCTTCAAAAATTCTTCTCTTAAAATGTCTTCCGGAGCAGTGTAGCGCATCCTTTGATGAAGGAAATTTCGATATTTCGGAGCCTGCAACCTCGTCGAACGAGATCGATCCTTAAGATAGCTGAGCAGACCGACCTTTCTAGAACCCATTTCCACGCAGTGCTCGCGGAAAAAGCTTCTGGCCGCCTCTATAACGATAAGCCAATTTTTTCCCCAAGTAAAAGTCATGAGCCGCTGATAGCCAATCTTGTTTTTATTATATATGTGGACATTCAAGTAAAGCACGATCTGATTTTAGCGAGTAGGGGCAACGATAAACGCCTCGGAAGCAATAAAATCATCTGGCAAATTTCTTCGTAGCGCTCGAAGTAATTCAGGAAACGAGAACGGAAATGAGGCGGTGGAAATATTTTGCTCTGTCCTGATGTGCCTTCACAACCGCTGTGAGGGATTTCTGGGAGGGCGGATATTTTGGTCAACAAGAACGAAAGACATTTCTTTACGAAATACATTTCTCGCATCGTTCCTGAAGTACTGTTATTCATTATAAATAATTTACGATCATTTCCCCAGTCATAACGGTTCATTTTAACTGGAATATGGCATAAAAAGACCGGAAAATTATACTAATATTACCGAAAGTTTCATGATTGTGTTGAACTACAAATAATATGTCGTGGTAATTAACCGCACAGCATTTAGTGGTCTCCCGAGGGGTGAGAGGAGAGATGTTGATGCGCCCTCCGCTCTGACGAATTGATTTTAAATGACCGAGCGCCAGCCACGAGGGCCATGCGACAACAGACAAGAATAATGGTCAATTCGAACAAAAAATTTTTGTCCATGACCTGTTTTCGCCCCGACCACAACCAGGGTTTAATTTTAAAACATTTATCTAGACAAGCGGAAAATTTTATGATGATACTGATGAACTCTTGGACTGTTATTTACCGAGCATATCAGTGGAAGAGATCAAATGAAAATACCGCGAGTGATGCAAGCAATCAAATTTCATATAAATATTATGCGATCGTAGTAACGTTAGATCTGTAAATGTCGATATAATATAAATCAATAAAGAGAAATTGATCAATTATATTATTTCTTGGGATAATTGAAGCAATAATATTTTATGTGTATGGATTTGAAATCGCCGAGAATCGACGATGTTTTATTTATTGATTGATTATTATTGATGACCAATTCATTCCAGTTAATTAAGGGAGGATTTAACCAAACTTCAAGGAATTTTTAGCCGATTCATCGGAGCTGGGACCTCCCCAAAAATGTTTTGTGTTGCTCTTCCCTGTCACCGTCACTTGAACGAAATTTTATTTTTGTTCTACTTAGATTCCGGTGTTGTTTATACAATTTAATTCTATAGCTGATCCTGAGTACCTCGTCAAAACCATAACAACATTTCTGAGTGAGGAAATAGGAAGGTCAACTTTTCGAGCTTTGTTTTAGGTTTTCATTTCAGCCCGTATCATTTTGTTTACAAGAAAACATGAAATGAAGCTTTATAATCAAAGCTGCATTTTCTCTCATGCTTAACGTAACATTGCCCAGATCTTTATATTCAAGCGAAAGTCTCCGAGCTTTTCTGCCTCTGTATTCAAGGCTGCTTTCTCCCTAGTCGTTTTGCCGAGCAACTCAAACCTTTTCTTCTCAGGGCGCATTTATCTCTCACATTCACAAAGCATTACTCGCAGCCGTCCAAACATCAGGAACCGCGAAGAGAAATTGAGAGCCTGAAATATGGTTAGTTCGTGGTGTTTGCCAGCCAGGCTGCGGATGAAGCTTTCAGTGCCAGTTTGCTGGGGGCCTCCAAGGGCCACTCAAGAGGTCATAGGAGGAGTCTGAAGTGTTCTTATAGGCCTCCTTTGTGCAAACTCCGGCCATGACCTCGAAGCGTCAAATTTTTATATATTACCATGGTTTGAGTCTGTTCCACGCTTTCCGGGACATTATAATTGGGAATATGGCCATTTTTCATATTATTCATTTAATGAATTATTCGTCGAATGTCATTTATTGGTCATGAAAAAGTTTGCCTTGCGTAAGATATTAACAGGATATTAACTTATGCATTTTAATGATGACTTTCATAAATTAATTCTTTCGAATTACATTAATTCAATCGTTCTTATAGCAAGTGTAAATCCTTAGTGAACATATTCTGCCAATACGTGATCCGAAGACTGCGTATCGTAAAGACATTCATTATTCATAATTTCTAGTTCCCATCCGAGGATTTTGTGACAACATTCACTCTAGCGCACAAGGATATTTAATTGAAACATACAACTGATAAATAAAAGCAAGCATCACAATATTTTACATCACTACTAAGGTTTTTGAGCTGTAGCATTTTGTGTTAAGGAGTCATTAGTTAAATTTATTTATCAGGCTGTGTTATTCGTCAGTGTAATGAAATGAAATGTTCCCCTTATTTTTAAGTAGCCTATTATTCACTTGTCTATTATTTACTTGTCGCCTATTATTCGCTTGTGTTATTCGCTTGTGTTAGGTGTCTTGCCACTTTTCATTAAGATTTCTACTTCCTCCCCCGACAGTATTGCTGACCGGGGAGCTGGTGTGGGTAATTCTGGGCGTGGTGTGGCTGGCTCGACACTACCAAGCCTGCACTCACAACCGGGCCCGCGACGTCATTCTTGGTCGGTGTTTCTGTTTATCTGAACGCCCGTTCACAAAAATGTCTGATTGAAAGAGAACCCAGATTGACTAATGGCTTAGTAATGGAACTGGAAGACAACATTGATTAATATACTGCTCTTGGTTATTGTAGATTGATAATCAACTATGAAGTGCCCGTATCACATTTGCGATTTCTGGTGTTCTCAAGATTAACTAAAAAAAATAAATTAAAAAATATTCATCCTATGTAAATGCTACCAAACCTTATTGCCTATAAGCCGCGAATTTTTTATAAGCTTTTTATTCTAACACGTGAGAGGAACGATTGTCTGAAAAACACACTCTAATATTAACCGATCCGCAGTGCATTAATCGAAACAAATGCATTAATTATTAATTATTTTGATCCGATTACACAAATTAATGCAAATGCATTAATCCATGAAACTGCATAATTATCATTTATTATTTCAATCCGATTTGCGATTTTTTACCAGTTTATTTATTTAGAAAATGCAAAATTTTTTCCATCAATACGATATAATTTTACAGGCGTTTGAAGGCTGTCAGCGTTCAAGCTCAACAAAATTAAATTATCCAATTTAATGGACGCCAAATATGGACTAACATGGAGTTCGCAACAACGAAGCATTTTGTGTAGTAAATGGGAACTGAAGCAATGAAACTTGCTCGATGAAATAACATTCTCATTTTAGGAAGTCATACATCTGGAGAAAATTTTTTTATAATGAAGAATGAAAGATAAATAAATACTAAAAGTACGAATGATTCACGGAAACTTCCTGTTTTGTATTTCATGCCAAGCAGCCAGATATTGTGAGAAAGGAAGTACTTGGGTGTGGAAGTATTTCAGCTTGTTTGTGTCCCGTCTAGTCAGTTGCCACTATGCATTGGACAAGTGAGCAGCGTACGTTTGCTGTCGAGGCGTACTTTTCTAGTGGCCTTTCCATTATTTCTCACCATTTTCGTTCTCGCACCAAATTGTTGCATTTGTGTCACTAAAGCTGTTGCCATCATGTAATAAGATGGCATAGAGTGCTCGCTCTGCGCACCGCCCATGTATCTTGATGGACATTTTTATCTCTATCGGGAATTTTAGAGTGAATTAGTAAGCCTGAAGTGATTACTCGCTATTCCAAAATCCTCGATGATAAAGAATTTGTTGAGGTCACTAATTTCATACGTTCAACTGATCAAGAATGCCACAGAATGAACTAATTATATTTTTATTAAAATATACGGTGTGGTAATCGTATGGGAAAATAATTAATATTTGTCTTCATATATTGAAAGATTTTATTATGAGTTAATAATTTTGCGGAGGTTATATGATACACTGCCTTCAAAAATGAAATGATGTTAAATGAAGTATGCCAGAAAATACCTAAATGAAATATTTTTCATTGGTTTTTGTTTAAGGCCATAAAATTTTGATATACCTTGGAGATAGAAAGAGTTAAATGCCATCATGTTTTTTCACTTCTTTTGTAATGCATACTGGAAGATTACAGACTATGTTTTGGCTCGAGCAAAAACACATTAGTGATCTTCAGTGAGCCTCTTCTTACGAGGTGATTTATCGACATCTCCTGGGACATGCAATCGCATAAATACATTAGCGGAGGATAAATGCTTCTTTCTATGCCAATATATGCTTCATCACATGGATATCGTGAGAAAATATTCTGGAAAAAGGTGTACCAAAAAGTAAAACATAATCCTTCAATGACTTGATATTCATGGTTGCAACAAGCGTTTAACTCGGATTAATCAAGATTAAAGAATTTCAATTTAGTCTACGGTAATTACAAAAAATATTTCATTATCTTTATATGACATCTCCATCAAATTTATCTATCATTTATTCGGACTAATATGAAAACTATTTTCATTTTGCTGCCTATATTTAGGGTTCGGAAAAAATGATTTTAATCCAAAATATAGTTCCATCAACATAAGAACCACCTCCATTTGACGGGTACCAAGAGGAAAATCTAATATTTAACTTGCCATCTAACGCATATTTTGAGGAACTCATGGTCTATTTTCCATGAAACAAAACCAAAGCTAATCTAGAAACTTGTTTGACACATGAACATAATATTTTTAAATTATGTATCCAGTTAGTTCTATTCATAACTTAAGTTAATCATCTTTCAGTTTCCTTGTAGGTGTTCAAGATTAACAGTAGCTTTTTCCACAGTTTCTATGACATTTCAATAATTTTAGTTCGAGTTTTTACAAAAGTCTTCTGGTCTTCTTCTTGCAGTGTAGGAAGAGTATTACCTTGCTTTCCAAACAGTTTGTCTGACTAACACAGGATTCTAGTGATACAATCGATCTGTTCACGACATTTTTGCGTTATGTGTGACATTATGTTATGCAACTGGTACTTTGTCAGTTGAAAGTGCTTCTGGAGGACAATTTTTTATCAAATTGTCGAAAACTTGTCGTCTCATGAGTCAGCTGTTATACAGACATGACTCGTTGCATTACAACATAGCACTTATCCCATGATACGCTGCATTACGAGCATCGTGGTATGCAACTGGCACTCCCTCCATGACTCGTTGCATTACAGGCATCGTGGTATGCAACTGATTCTCCCTCCCATGGCACGTTGCATTACAGGCATCGTGGTATGCAACTGACACTCCCTCCCATGACACGTTGCATTACAGGCATCGTGGTATGCAACTGACACTCCCTCCCATGGCACGTTGCATTACAGGCATCGTGGTGTGCAACTGACACTCCTTCCCATGACACGTTGCATTACAGGCATCGTGGTATGCAACTGACACCCCCTCCCATGACACGTTACATTACAGGCATCGTGGTGTGCAACTGGTGTGTGCTGCTGTCGGTTTTCCTCACCGTGTGCTGCACGTTCGACGCAGCAGGGCGTTCGTGGGTCAAGATGAAGAGATACCAGCGGTCCACGCGTCACTTCCCTGCCAAGCGCACCGACTCCGGTCAAGATGTCAAGACCAAGCGTAGCAGATGCACGTCTGGCAACGCCAACCGCAACTGGAGACACAGGTTCGCTCTCAGCGACGTTCGCTGAGCCTCGGCAATTGATATTGTAGGCTTCTGGCGACTATTTATTCCAGGTTTTATGAAGGTTTGCACAATTATGAAGGTTTGCACGGTTATGAAGGTTTGCACAGTTATGATGGTTTGCACAGTTATGAAGGTTTGTATAGTTATGAAGGATATGAAGGTTTACACAGTTATGAAGGTTTGCACAGTTATGAAGGTTTGCACGGTTATGAAGGTTTGCACAGTTATGATGGTTTGCACAGTAATGAAGGTTTGCACAGTTTTGACTCTTCAAGTTAAACGGTTTGACTTAGGAGAAGGATTATACACAGAATCAATTTTTACATTTTTTTCTGGTGTCTAAATTTCATTAGTACTTTATTCTTCATCAGTACGTAATCCTGACAAATGGTGAATAAAAGGTCAGTAAACATTGATTTAATTTAAAAGATAGGTGAACGTTGATTCAAACATATACGAGTATTATGTATCATTATTGACTTTATCGAATAAATTGGTAAATTAAACATCAAATTAAAAAAAAAACTACAAGTAAAAAAGTAATTCTACGCCAGCCAATTGAATAAAAAAGTACGCGCATTTGTCATCGAATATGAGTAGAAAAAATTTCGAGGATGAATATCAGTATAGCAAAATTTAGCCCTGTTACCATGCACATATTGTGACAGCAAGAGGATGACGATTATTTTTCATACTGGACTTTGGCAATAACATTTTAGTATTTTTTTTCATTTTTAGTGACTGAACTCCAAATTTTTTTAAAAAAGAAACAAACCTTACATTTATTTTATTCTCACTGTAGTGAGACAGCAAGGGGAACTTTTAATCATGCGTTCAATTTAACTCCTCTTCTAGACTAGCGAATGCATGCAGAATCCTCATTTGTCTGAAAAAGTTCCAACTTTGAACTCGAGAGAGTCCTTGAAGCGCACAGACTAATCAAGGAGGCGGAGAGCCGCACCGTAGCCAGTAATTTAGTTGGAGGTATTTAGCATAAGCTTGCAATCAGCGCGGATCTGACGTGCTTCTGAAGTATTGGACCACACCACAGGTTTTGATGGCTGCCACCGACAACCTAGAGTAGGCCGTGGTTGATCAATAGCTTAGAAATAAATACTGGTTGATGATTCTATAGAATAATTATATTAGTGTCGCTATGTCTGCAAATTACTCAAAATTATTACGATTCAAGGTCACTGTACGCGTATGGTGGATCGTGATCGCATCAACGAATGTCGAGAACGGAATTCCATGTGTCGTTGCTAAAAGCAATTAAAAACACTGATAGTTTAAATTTAACTTGCATGCAAGAGTAATATTTGTTTTGATTGACGGAAGATTTATTTTGCCATTTTAAAAATATATTACTCAAATTGAATTCACGACAATTAATTCTAAACCAGCACAGTATTTCAATGGAATATTTGGGATGAAATTTCTTTGACTCATTCATGTATATTAACTGAATTTGTTTAAACACAGGCGCTTAATGACCAGAGACTTCATTGATTGACAAGACGATATTGATCAACATCATCTGAAGAATATCATTCGATCCTGAAATTCTAAATCAATGAATTCTCTGGTCACTAACCACCCGTGTTTAAACAAACTTATTCTGCCATCTAATATTAATTAACTGACGTTGGCACTAATTATTATTCTCTCTGCCCTCATCGACCTTTGTATGTGTTCAGAAAAGTGATGAAGGCGTATCAGGACAGCTGGGACCAGCGATGCCGTCTATTGTTCTGCTGCATCAACACAAGCGACTCATACAGGGTGAGAAAAATTGAAATAAAAATCATTTAACAACAGCTGCATTGTAACAGATTCCCTCCCTTAAAAACCCAAGTTAAGAAACAAGTGCAAGAATTGAGCATTCAATGTTACAATGAATTAACTGCGTAATGCTCGTTTATGAGGAGGATTTCAATTTATTTCAATAATTTATTTTAATATTATTTGAATTATAATAGGTATTCCAATATCGAGACTTGAATTCCTTTTATCCTAATTAATTCTATCTTATGTTCAACGTGATTTTTTTCTAACTAAATTGAAAGTAATCATATAAATAGTAACAACTGTTTAATTAACGATCACAAATTCCGAAATGATCGTTAGTTTTATTGAACACAGTAATGAAGTAATCAAGCTTACGTTATTTTGAACATAACCGAGTCAAAAATCATCAATAACAATAAATTTGTGTGTTTACCGTAGCCGTATAATGTGCTAGAAATAATTATCACTTCTCGGTGAAGATATCTCGATCATTTTAAAGGCATTATAAGGTAACCCGATATACCACAAAATATTTGTGATAACACACAATTCTAACATTATTAAAACATGTCCAACATCATTAAAAAGTCAGTGTAAAACTAACTTTTCTCTAACCAGTCACTCGCAATACGTCGCACTGTAATTATAGAAGAATGTTTGTCACGAGCGATCATTGTACACATTGTACAAACACAGCCAGCAGGATATTAAAAGTATTGACATAAACATACTATATGTTCAATATGATTCAGAAAATTCTTGTTGATTAGTACCAATTCAGTCAAATCCAATGTCAGCTCCCATGTCACTCTAGGCAGACGAGGACGGAACCAACAAGCGAGTGTTGCAGTGATTGATACGAGCACGTCTCAGATCTCAATATTCTTGCATGACAAGCGCTCGCACAATTACGTAGCGGCCATTGTGTGCCAATCAACTATTTAAATTACGTTAGATGAAAATGGTGAAATATGACGTTCTGTACCCGTACTGGAAATCGCTGCACGATCATCTCTTAATTGAGCTTGTAATTTAATTGAGAATACGAAACTCGTATTCGTATCAATTGAGAATTGATACGAATTGAGTTCGTATTGCGTTAATAAAAATTATTCAGAATTATAAGTATTTCGGTTTTCTATTTTTTAATCGCTGAGAACATCAGCGCGTTATAATGCGATGAGCTCTTAAATACCTTCCCTAAAGTAAAACTTAAATAATTTCAGTAATAATTTTATATTAAGTACTTAATTTGCACAGGTTAACATTTGAATCATGTTTCACTACTACGGAGAACTGCCACGCCACGCAACACGTGATATCCCAACACCAGATCTTGGTTGCTGGCGCCTCAGAATTGTTGCTGCCGTTAATTAACTTCGAAAAAAGTTCGACCGCAAAATTTCAAGGCTTTTCTATCGCTAACTTTACGGATGCGATGCAGACGTTGAGGATGAATATTAAAAGTCAGTTCTTTCTTAGGGCAGTATCTGTTACGGAGCTCTTGCAAACAAAAAACTTTAACGTGAAGAAACACAATAGCCGATCGTTACTAGCGAAGACAGGGAGTTTTGAGAGAGTAGTAGCCAAGCCCTTATTAGCCAAGGCACGCGATGCAATATTTTCCCCTCAAATGGCAATATTATACTTGAGTTGGTATGCAACTTATAATGGTAACAGAAAATATTTACTACACTTTTGAAAATTGACCTGCGTGATCACTAATATGTGATCACTACACTAATATGTGTGTGTCACTAATATGTTTTATTGTGTAATTGTATTAGCAGAAGAGACTGTTTTAATAGCTTTCGTATCATTGTTTTAATTACAGCATAGGGATACTCTAGAACAGACCTCACGTATGATTCCACGATAATGAAAACCATTTAAAAATTTGCGTTGACGGAATATGAAATTATCTGTATCAAATTAATTAGATATAAAGCTTGTATTTAACCTTCTATTAAACGAAAAAATAAGAGCAGATATTGTTAAACCCCTGAAGAATGATTGCAGTGCATGCGAATGATTGTCGAACACGCAAACAAATTCTCAGACTTCATGAGAATTTTCAAATCCCCAGAATTCATTTGGTGACATAGCGCGGCTGCTGAGCGAATTTTTCCGCGATTTGGACGTGGTTCCCTCGGACGTGGTGGCCGGGCTGGTGCTACTGCGCAAGTGTCAGAAAATGGAGAGAAAAGCCATCGTCAAGAATCCCAAGACCGACGTACGTCAGTTCCTGTCTGGGGTGCCGATAACAGCCAAGTGAGTTAGCAACAGGGATAACAGCGATAACAACCAAGTGAGTTCGCAACAGGTATAATGCAGCGATAACAAACAAGTGAGCTCGCGACAGGGATAAAACAGTGATAACAGACAAGTGAGTTCGCAACAGGGATAACAGCGATAACAGCCAAGTGAGTTCGCAACAGGGATAACAGCGATAACAGCCAAGTGAGTTAGCAACAGGGATAACAGCGATAACAGCCAAGTGAGTTCGCAACAGGGATAACAGCGATAACAGCCAAGTGAGTTAACAGGGATAACAGCGATAACAGACAAGTGAGTTCGAAACAGGGATAAAACAGCGATAACAGCCAAGTGAGCTCGAAACAGGGATAAAACAGCGATAACAGACAAGTGAGTTCAGAACAGGTATAAAACAGCGATAACAGCCAAGTGAGTTCGAAACTGGGATAAAACAGCGATAACAGACAAGTGAGTTTGCGACAGGGATAAAACAGCGATAACAGCCAAGTGAGTTCGCAACAGGGATAAAACAGCGATAACAGACAAGTGAGTTCGCGACAGGGATAAAACAGCGATAACAGACAAGTGAGTTCGCAACAGGGATAACAGCGATAACAGCCAAGTGAGCTTGCAACACAAGAAGAACATAAACATGTATTAGTTACATTAGTGAGATACCAGCATGGGTGAGATTCATATATGGCAGATAATTTACTTTTAAGTAATTTGTTTTGCTTAATGTTATTAAGTGGCGGTTGAGGTAAACCTCATTAATTTTTGCTTCCACGTATAATTAAGTACCCGTTAGTTGAATATCTCATTATCAGTTAATGTGTCAGATGCTCTGTATAATAGCTTAATAGGAGCATGAAATTTCGATGGTAATAATACTTAAAAATATGTAGCAATTTAAAATTTTTTGCTTTGTCATTGCTTCGGTTCACTATTTGAGGTAAGTACATTACCAGGCACAATGTAGACTAAAAGAATTTAGTTACCGGCGTTAGGAAAATGATATTGTAAAAGGTACCTAGCATCGCACGAAAATCATCACGTGAGATGGTGCATTTATATAGTGTCGTCTCAGTGAAAGTTAATGGATTCTTTCGTCTATGAAGTAAAGACTCGAGTGCCTAAGAAGTGCAAGCCAAAGTTTTACGATATTAAATCCTCATGAAAAAATTGCACGTTTACTGGAACTTCCATTTTTCACAATAATCGACTCCAGAAAATCAAGAGAAAAACGATTTCATTCAAAATATCACATTTCGTAGTTCGTGGAGTTGTTTTTGATAATAAGCGCAATTAATACCAAGTAATCGATAAATAAAGATTCAATGATCTGTGAACGCGATGAATTCAGAAAGTTTGTTTGCTAAACAAGTCAAATTCATAAATAATCCATTGGAATAATTATTCTTTTATGCCTTCTTGAGTTTCCTCTGGATATGAAATTCTGCAATAATGTTTCCAACAATCTACAGGGTGACACAAAAAAAACAGAGCTCACTAAAAGTCTTATAACTCCTGAAATTTTATTCAGTTTGAAACAAAAATTCAAGCCGAAAATATGTCTCAACTGCAAATGTCTTTTGCTCTGTAGTCCAAGGCATCTCGAAGCTCACACGTGGTAGACTCTTAGATCAATCCGTCTTCTTAATGAATCTGAAACAAATAACAGGATTACTTGAGTATTGTGGAAATTATTCAACTTTTTATGAGCTCTGTTTTTTTTGTGTCACCCTGTAGCTGGTGATTGACAAAATATCGTGAATACTGCCGCTCGCTGAAGGAACAAATAATTTAATAATTATATTATATTAGTGTATCACACATTTCACTTACCTCGGCTTTGATATTTTTTTTTTCCAGCACCCGTTTCCTGCAGCTTAATACTCCAGAAGGTGATGCAGAGTTTCGCAAGATTTTGCACTACATGCGTTTTGCCCTCGCGGTCTACGGCTGGCTGATGTACGTGATGCGCGCGTCCACAACCAAAGCCGCCTGCCAGCTGTGTCCTGAGCTCAGGTTCGTCACGATCAGGCTTTATATTCTTACCAAATTCTCACTGTCGTCGCAAGTTCAACGTTAATCGTAAAATGGTAACAGGCATGTGTGACTTTAGACAGAGGGGAGTAATTTGAGGTGGGGAGGAAATTTCTGTTGCTTTCTGTCTTCAGATCCTCAAAAGATTTCTGCAATAGCTAATCCATTATCTATGTGTGGTTATTTTCGAAAATATAACCTGCAAATTAGCGATATGATTCATGTCATCGTTGGAATTTCGTTCATTTTTTTAACAGTTTTATGACATTATAAAGTTCTCATTTGTTTTTTTTTTATGCACAGGTGTTGGTCGTGCGCACAGAGTGCCTCCCCCGACGCACCTCACGTAGTGGAGGACAACTGCTGCATGTGCAACACAGCCGCCCTATTCAAGATGGCGCCCGCCGAGGATTTGGATCTCGTTTACGCGACCTTCCACGTCGACATCGGTGAAACTCCCTTCTTCGTGGCGCTCGATCATTCCAGGAAAGCCGTGGTTATCAGCATTCGGGGCACCCTGTCCATGAAGGTAAAAGCCAGACTGTGACTTAGCTCATCGAAATAAAACTATTTGTATATCAGATAGAGTAAAAATTGGCTAAATAATAATTAATTCGTGAAGACCAAATTATTATATAAATCTCGAAATCTTTTGAAAGTAAAGTAACACTAAACTAATTGTTTAGGTCGGCATAGACGACCATTTGCTTATGAATTGAAGGGATCTTTGCTTCATCAATTTTATCCACTAAAGTCGTGAGTGATAGTTCATTTCTATCGATACCGCAAGTTTCATTGTTGACAATATTCCACAATTGTTGATTATTTGAATATTAAAATTTTAAACAAATGGTACTCTTTACAAGAGCATGATATTAATAAGTTTCTGTTGCAGTTCAACATGAATTAAAAATCATCAAATGAACACAATTTTGTCCGTTCATCAGCATTATACTAAGTTTTCGTTTTCTGATTATAGGATATGATTACCGACCTCAATGCCGAAAGTGAACCGCTGCCAATGGACACAGTCAAAGACGACTGGCTAGGACACAAGGTGAGTGTAGGACTCATGTCGTTGATCATGCTAAAATAACACGGCTCAAATTGGCTATAGACACGCAAGCATATATGTCAATTAATTATGCACTGCTAATGGAATTAATTTATAATATCCCATAACTGCTCACTCGGTGTTCATGAAGTTCATCTATATCTCAAACGAGAAATATTCATTAAAAATTAGGTTATCGGGCACCACAAATCAACAAAGCAGTCTGCAATCGATGTATTCGTTTTCTATGACGAATCGTAAAAAACTGCTCCTCTCACTTATTCCAAGTATAACTCTTATATATCGAAATTTGCATAATTTTTGCAGCAAATGAAATAAATGGCTACTCTCAGACTCAATGATTGTCTGTGAAATTTGCAGTACGATAAAATATTATTATTAACTTATAAGTGATAGCGGCGTAGAGCCGTAGAAGCGTTCGAAAACGGACTCAGTTATATACATATTACAACACTTTTCTTTAACTTCACTTCTTGTTGTTTGTTTGTCTGTCTGTCTGCTACAAATCTTATAATCGATATTTGACACACTTCTACCTGTCCAATCGATCTGAAATTTTGCACACTTGCGTAAAGTTGAGACAATGCATGAATCAATTGACAGAATAAATATTTTTATAAATTAAGTTTTTTTTTCATTATTAAAAAAAATTGAAAATAATATGCGTTTAAAAATTACTTTTTAAAGATAACGCTTCTGAAGAATCCGGTATCTTGGATGTTACACATGTACAATAAATTTCTAATTTTATTTTCTAATATTAAAAAAATATATTTGTAAAAAATTTTTTCTGATATTAAAATTTTTGTAAATTTTCAAAACTATTTATTCTGTCAATTGATTCATGCATTGTCTCCAACTTTCTGCAAGTGTGCCAAATTTCAGATCGATTGGACAGGTAGAAGTGTTTTAGATATCGATCATAAGATTTGTAGCAGAGAGACAGACAACCAGACAAACAAACAACAAGAAGTGAAGTTAAAGAGAAGTGTTGTAAAAAAACAGTCACCCTTTCAGAAGTAAAAACAATTTTCAGATTTTTTCAGACCCGTGTAATCAAAATTAAGCTTGTAAGAAAAGCAGACTGGGTTACCAGTTTTTCCCGGTGCATTTTTGCGGTCGTTCCTGAGTGACGGATAAATGATCGTTTTACGTTCACGTTTGTATGTGGCGAATAGTTGATTGATTGGCGAATAGTTGACGAATAATTGATCGTTTGCAGGAGGCGAATAGTCGATCGTATATATATGGCGATTAACTAATCATGTGCACGTGACGAATAAGTGATCACTCGCACGTGGCGAATAATTGATTGTATGTGTATGGCGAATAATTGATCGTGTGCATGTAGCGAATATGTGATTGCTCATAGGTGGCGAATAAGTGATCACTCGCACGTGGCGAATAACTAATCGTATGTGTATGGCGAATAATTAATCGTGCGCATGGGGCGAATAAGTGATCTGTTGCATGTGGCGAACAAGTGATCGGTCGCATGTGGCGAATAAGTGATCGTAATCTTGTGACCAAAAAATGACCTGTATGATTGATATAGCCTACATGTGACGGATCGTTTTCATCTGGTTAATGTCGTATGTATGTCGTGTATGTGAGGCTCCGCTAATTGTGTTTATAGAGACCCAATCTACACGCGGTGGACGACGTCTGAGTTGCCCATCCTTTGGTGCGGAATTAAGATTCGGAGTCACCATCAAAATGAGGGCACCATCACATGAGGGCAAAAAGTGCTTTTCTTTACATGAATTTAGAACCCATTTTAAAAATCAGTATAGCACATCCAATCATTTTAATCAACGTGGAAACTATATTTAGCCCTCTTTTCGATCAATATTTAGGTAATGCATGTAATTGAAAATTTATTCTATGTTTTATCTGTCCGAAAATCAGTCTACGGCCTTCTACAAAAAAATCCGAGCTGAGAATTAGACTTTCCTCAGTCGGACTCACAGAGCATTAATTATTGTTAGAAGAAATGCAGTAATTAAGGTTTGGTCAATGCATTTATACTCGTTCGATGTTTTATGAAAATTTGTGACAAATTCTGCATAAATTCCAAATTTCAAAATTTCAAAAGAGGTTCAACAATGATTGAACAGTAACCGATGACGTGAGCTCTAGGTACAAGAGCAGCCAATTAAAGTGCTACTTTCGAGGTGCCACTTCAAGATCCCGAATAAATTTTTCGAACTGAATCTTTAAACGCGTGCTGCGTTTAAGCTTTACGAGGATTTTTAAGTAAAAGCCGAGCCAACTGCCACAACCAAACATGATTGAGGCTGCATTTTTCCATCTCAGAAGACCCGGTGCGATACTCAATAGTAGCTCTATCGTCTCATTAGATAATATAATTATTAAAAATGATACATGAACGTGCGTTGATGTATACAATGGCAAGTGCGGATCCTAGGCCTTCAAAGTTCGTTGATGCATCATTGCAAAACAAACAGTTTTTGTATTCTTCAAAGTTCATCTTATTAACAAATAATCTATATACTCGATGAATCGATACTGAACTTTTTTTCACCGCGACATTGACAAATATACACGGCAAACTGTTTAAGCGTTGTTGAGGCGTCAGTAAAATTCATTTCTTTTATAAATGTTACGAACATGTTCTGTCTAAACTAATTGATGACAGATGTTTTATTTTTGTGAGAGCTTTCAAAATAATTGGCTCCTGGCCGTGGAAAATTTAACCGATTTGCGGTAGCTATACGAAAAACATAACGGTATATTTTTGTGTCAGAAACTGGCGATCGTTTTCTGGAAATAACAACTAGTTTGCCTCAAATGTCAAATTTTTTCAATTGAAAAGATGTGATTAAGTCGACATAAAAACATTAAAAAAATTCAATTTTCACCAGAAAATACGTCAATAAACTTATGTTGATTGATTCGCATCTGCAAATGGACACGATCGCGTTCAATGCCAGTTTTTATTACAACACTTCTCTTTAACTTCACTTCTTGTTGTTTGTTTGTTTGTTTGTCTGTTTGTCTGTCTGCTACAAATCTCATAATCGATATTTAACACACTTCTACCTGTCCAATCGATCAGAAATTTGGCACACTTGCATAAAGTTGGAGACAATGCATGAATCAATTGACAAAATAAATAATTTTAAAAAGTAAAAAAAATTTTACATTACTAAAAAAATTTTAAAATAATTTCGTCTGCTACAAACCTTATAATCCATATATGACACAATTTCACCTGTCCAATCGATCTGAAATTTTGCACAATTGCATAAAGTCAGAGTCAATGTATGAATCAGTTGACAGAATAAATAATTTTGAAAATTTACAAAATTTTTATATCTTAATTAAAAATTTTTGATAAATAATTTTTTTTGATATATGAAAATAAAATTAGAAATTCATTGTACACGTGTAACATCAAAGACATCGGATTCATCAGAAATGTTGTCTTTAAAAAGTAATTTTTAATCGCATATTATTGATACAATCGACTTTACAAGTCAACAAACAACTTTATTTTCTAAGAGTCTCGAAAATTTGTGTTCATTCATCCATAATAATGCAATTCTCTTACCCCACTGCAACTCTAGTTGTGTAATTAAAATATTAAAGTAATATCAATAAAGTCTCAAACCGGTCTGTTGTCGCTTCCTGGTTTCGCAAAAATTTCACAGATTGCTGGAGATTAACTAATATAATCTTGCTTTTCTTAGCCGCCCTGGCGGCCTTGTTAATTTTTACTGTAACATTATATACAAATAGAAGGAATAGAACCCAGATGTCACTGCTGCATTCCTGGTACTCTATACTTCGATCAATAGGTTACTCCGATTTAAAAAAGTTTGCTTATATCATTCAAATAAATGATGGAAAACATTATTTTTCATATGCCACATCATACATTTACCATGGAAACATTTGTATACCCAATTTTTTACATGAGGCGTTTGAATTTTTAGTATCGCGACAACTTTAATATATATTTTGATGAACTCAGTGCCAGAAGATACATTTCAGGGCATGGTGCAGGCAGCAGTTTACATCCGCACGAAACTGCGGGAGGAGCAACTGCTGGAGAAAGCCTTCGCCCGGGACCCTGACAGAGGGACGGACCGCTATGATCTGGTCCTAGTGGGACACTCGCTAGGTGCCGGCACCGCGGCAATATTGGCAATATTGCTAAAACAGCAATACGCGAACCTCTGTTGCTTCGCGTACTCACCGCCCGGCGGACTGCTCAGGTATTCCAAAGATTTTAAAAGTTTTCATGGGAAAAAAAAGCAATTGGTTCTCATCCACCATTACCTTAGAAGATGCATTTTAAAATTATTAATCGTATTTTGCACTTAGATAACAAATATATCAGAGAAGTGCGATTAACTGTTTTTTTTTAAGATGAACTTTGTTGAGTCATTTTGGATCAAAAATTTAATCTCGCAAATGAAAAAAATATAATTCGACATGTTGCTACTCGGCGGCTATGACTTATTATTTTTAATTGCTTTCAATAAGTATTGCCTTAACAGCAAGCCCGTGCTTGAGTACACGAAGGCCTTCATCACGTCGGTGGTGGTAGGGAAGGACGTCGTGCCAAGGATCGGCCTTCATCAGATGGAAACTCTGAGGGCGGATCTTATCACGGCAATACAGCACAGTCAAGATCCTAAGGTACAAATTTATTGTTGAAATAAATTAATTAAAAATACATGAAGAATGGGATTTCGACCAATTCCGTTCTAATTTTCTTATGATTAATTATGGCATGCATACTTCATAACTATTTGATTATGATTTTGATTTGATTGTTTGATAGACAGAACTGAAGAGCTGGATCAGCTTATTCATATTGTGAAAACCAATTTTGAATATAGACACCAAAACTCACTGTTTTCCTGCTATTATTCTGTAATGAATGACCACTATAAAGTTTGCACAACGTTTCCGTAATTGAGTGATGAGATTAAAATTTCAATAAATGTTACATGAAATTTTCGCACATTTGAGCGCAATAAATTTTTGAAGCAAAAAATAAGAGCAAAAAACGACCAATTTAAAATTAATTACACTTAAGATTAAAGATTAAGAAGAATTCAATTTGCCTCACTCTATTATTTCATGGCTAAGCTCAGCGAGCATTTAATCGGATAGCTTTAATTAAACATTTATAAAAAAAACTGTTTCGATGAAACATCTCAGATCTGTGGAATTACGTTCCATTTCTTAGGAAAGGTTATGCGAAATAATATCTAGAATATTTTCGGTAGTGAAAAGTGGCCAAAAGCAATTTTCATTGTGATTGGAGTCGATTAAAAATACTTTATTCACCTTACGACGACAAATTAATTTGTGTGTATGATTGAATTTACCTGAAAATTGTTTTCCCATGCTTCTTCGGCGATGATTTAACACCAAATTTCGAACGCAGTGGAAAACGATAGCCTCGACGATGCAGTGTTGCGGCAGCGGCGCCCCGCCGGTCATCGAAGACGAGGCTGAAGGACCAGCCGAGCAATGGTCGTCTAGTAGGCGTAAACTCTCCCGTAACCCGGCCAGCCATCCCTCCGACGCGACCATTGAACTCACCGTGCACAGGCCCCTCTACCCTCCTGGCAGGATACTGCACGTCGTGCGTCACCATCCAGGACCTGGACCGTGAGTATTTCAAACAATGATTACTTGATAAGTTAATTGCCGTGAATACAATCCAAACGCAGCACGTGAGCCAAGTTGAAAAATTTTGTCTCGGAGTGTATGCTAGGCAAAAGTATTTTAGCATGAATATGATGCCGCAATTAATGTACGGCCTTACCATTTGAAACTCTAATTTACGAAGATAACGTGCGGTTGAATCGAAATTTCATTGGAAGCAGTGCAAGTTATTTCACTCACTGTGGAGATATACTGTAAGTGAGTACTTAGAGGTAGGGTTATCAGGGAATGGAGGCCAAGTTGGCGTTTTAATAAAAATAAAAATTGGCGTTTAAGAACGCTCCCGATACCCTCAAAAATCCAATTCATTCATACCTGAATGTTACATTCATGTAATATTTGAAAATATGTTGAAAATATTTGCATTTTTTTGACTATCCGTGTTAATATTTAGTTCTTGTTAAAAAAACTTAAATGCTTTTATTGTTCTATGTGTTCATTAGGTTAACTAAAAATCCTCGCATCACTTTCATTTTTATACTCAAATTTATTTGCAGCTTTCAAAATCCGAGTCAAGGAAGGTGAGAGATAAGTAGCTTTTATTATAGAGAATGAAATTTTATTCTCTTTTAGCTCGTCCAGAGTTTTTGTTCTTCTGTCGAATGTAAAAAATTTTTAGATATCTCCTGTTCGCATGGTATAGCTAAGGGATTTCGTGCACTTTATAGAGTAGATACAGAATAGATAAAGTTACGGCATAGAAATTGAAAAGAATTTAGTATAGTTTGTCAAGGTCTTTCCAGAGCATTATACAAAACCTGGATACTACGAACCATGATTAGCAATTCAGTATCAAATCGATTTTCAGCTTTCCAAGGCAATCGTAAAATTTAAATTCCAAGGTAATTTTAGAAATAATTATCGGTACAGTTCGTTGTAAAATTTTGCTTAAAATCAAATACTCCTTCACTTGACATGCACCTGAAAATATTTCATAGCAATCCTCGTAAAAAATATGTTTTGAACAAATTTTGCTATTGGTGCTTCTCAATCTGATCTATATTTATATATATATTTCGCTGGATGGCTGGTGCTTGTATTTAGTCCATCAAAAACCGCACCATTTAAAGAATTTCCTGCATGGAGCCATTAGCGGTTTTTCGTAGACTCTGAACTCTCTGGATCGCATTATTCTTGCATCAAAGCATGCAAACGTTATGGGGTATTTTGCCCATAAATTGATTAGAAGTGAAAAGGACTTGAGGAATGCACTGTACAAAATTTTAGACCTAATAAAAATTAGATAGATTATATTATTACAAGTAGATTAGTTGTAAAACAGGGTAATTAGATATTATAGTATTATTTTCCTTGTAGATTATATTATTACAATTTGTTTTTGTTTTGGCAGCCTTTTAGTCATTTGGTGTTCTGTAAAATTTTCGCACGGTTTTAAAAACATTAAAAAGTTTTCTAATTTAAACTACGATAATTACCGAGCTCCAAAAATATCCAGATAATTTTTATGATTTTTTCCACTCTTTGATACAAATATGTATATATACGTACATTTAAAAATCTATTTCCTATCTTACCTTACGCAAATATAATTATTGAGGGTCTAATTGAAATTTCCACCTTTTGTGCTGCATGAACTATATCTTCAAACAAATTTAATTTTCGCCTACACGACGAAATTTACTTCTGCAATCAAACTATCGCTTGAATTTACAGACGTTTGATTAATTTGCATCTTAATTTCTACAATGAAATTTATGTCCCTCCTATAGGCATTTATTATCGTCTGAGAAGAGATCAGTAGCAAGCAGTATACGCTTTACCTGCCGAAATGTTCTTACTGAAAATTAGTCTAAACTTGTGGAGCCTGCATGTCATCCGCGCGATAAATTTCTCATAACGAGATACGCCACGCAAGACAACTGTTGGGAGAAAATTTCTGCTTATATTTTTGGTTTTGTTCATTAATGACGTGCTCTAGAAATGTTTATTTTAATATACCAACAAAAAAGTTGCAACGCTTCTGGGCATCTGGGGTAGATGATTTCGCCAACAATTGATTGGAAGCAATGGATAAGTTATACATAATGTCCATGAAAGTAATTCTACATTATGATCTTACAGTCCTATAATCTAATATATTCTATAACGCCAGAATTTATTTCTAGACATAAAGAACACTCGTAAAGAATGCTTAACAGTGGTTAAAAAATCGGAAATATTCCTGGTCAATGCAGCAGCAGTAAGGCAAAATTTGATCATCCTTTTATTACAAAACTTCTCTTTTACTTTTGTTTGTCTGCTACAAATCTTATTATCAATATTTAGCACACTTCTACCTCTCCAATTGATCTGAAATTTTGTACACTTGCGTAACGTTGGAGACAATGCTTGAACCAATTGACAGAATAAATAATTTGAAGAATTTTTTTTTAATATATAAAAATAAATGAAATACATTGTACATGTGTAACGTTAGAGACACTGGCCTTTTTAGAAATGTTGTCTTTAAAAAGTAAATTTTAAACTCATATTATTTCGACTAATATTCACGTTCGTTCCATCAGACCTCCAAGAGCTGAATGTCTTCAATTTCTTCATAACTTTATTTCTTTTCATATAAATAATTGCTGGAATTTTTTTAGTCGCTGGAGGCGCAGTGGCAAGCCAGTGTACCAGGCTGTGTGGGTAGACAACGAAGACTTCGGTGAAGTCATCATCTCGCCTTGCATGATCCAAGACCACATGCCTGATAAAGTCTTGGAGGCACTCGAGCTGGTGAGCAGTTATTGAATATTCTTTTATGAATTATGATAGCGAGTAACGAGCTTAGTCATTGTCAGGATACGGTGCTGCATGCAATTGTCACACGAAACAAATGGAGAGTAATCGATAAACGCAGACCATGGCAAGTAAATATTTTAAATTTTCTTGCAAAAGTCTTAACGATCAATCACTAATCATAAGCTTATTTGCATGATTATTCTGCAGAGTGGGATTTATTGCGTTTTGAAATGTAAGGTCAGCATGTTATGTCTGTAACACCAGAAGAAACGTGTCGTGCGCTTCATTCGCAAACAAACTACGGTAAATAATATTCGATCAGAATTTGTAATCAATGTCAATTGCATCAATTAAAATTGATTTCACTTTCCATTTGAATTCCTGATTCAATTGAATTCCGGTCCTGCAGAAGCAATCCACCGGTGATCATCTGTCCAGAAACTAATTCAGTTGCATTCGTCTAGACATTGGGAGCCCTAATTCACGTTCACAGCCATCACATTACAAATTATGTTTCACTCATGCTTCTCGTCAATCGCTCTCTAGAGCAATAAAATATTTAAAAACTTACATGCCATTGACTTTCAGTCATGTTTGTGGCTATTTCCAAGTTAATTTTTAGTCCCTCACTTTTGTGTCACCATTAGTGTCAGCAAGTACGTGAATAAAGATAAACCAGAACGGTTCACACGATGACGGATCTACACGATCAGCTGGCTGAAATTTACAGGTAGGAAGTGGCCTTTGTTATATTTTGTGTTATGAACGCGCCCTTGTTTAATAAGTAAATCTATCACCATTCAATTAGTAAGTAAAATCATTCAAGAGCCTACGACGAAAACTTTCAGCAACAATGTAAATAGAACTGACCCGTTCCCAGTCATATTTTTATCTATTTCCGAGATATATGGCGCAAGGCATGGATGCTTCTTAATTGATAGCAGGCGACCTGACCGACCTCGTAATTCTGGGCCTAAGAGTCCGTGGCCTTTATTCAGCAACACGAATCCTAAGCTAGGGGCAATATAGGCCATCTTCTGCACGGTTGACCGAAGTCTGGCCACCGATTGTCTATACCTGGCGTGGGCGTGGCTCGCTCTCACATCCCGTAGTTCATGATGAAAACAGACTGTTCGGTGAACGTTGAACGTCTAGTTCTCGAAGCCGCTCTACGACAAAAAAATAATCATTGTTAGAACGTTGTGATTAGAATTTATACAGTGGGAAAGGCTCTTCTTGTTAATGGCATCTGAGCAATTTTTTGAGTTTTACTCGTCGCAAGTCCTTGTGACGATTGTAAAAATATAAATTTCGTCTATTTTAAATCATCTCCCTAAAAATAACAGATTACTAAATGTCAATGAAAAACCGTGAATATTCACGAATGTCACCGCCAATGATCGCTTCAAGCAAAGTGCCACAAAGCACATTCCACAATGACGGCATTGGGCGTAATTGGAGCAGCAATCGTGTTTTTTGCGTGAGCTCTCACCTGACTACCCCTCCCTTGACGAGCTCCACATCTGCCCTCGCTGCTCCAGTCGATATAAGGCGCACAGTCGGTCACGGGACTCGACCCTAAGGGCTTCACAGTCGCTCCTCGACACGCGTGGAACGTTTGTTTCACTAAACACTATAAATTTTGTCTCAAACCGGCACTTTCATTGGATTTTTGATCAATGTTCTTGTTGCTCTGCAAGTGAGAGTATATACTATGTGGGTTTTTTGCACTGGGTTACTTGAACATTTTGTACTATCGTGATAAGTGTCGTGTGAAAGGGAACAACCCACGCTGCGTTTTGACTAAGATCTATCTTGATGAAGAAGAACAAGTATTTTTAATCGTATAATTGAGCAGCAATCCATCGTATTGATGTCCGAAAGCTTTTCCAAATCCGTCTTCTCGATCTTACAATGACTCGAGTTACATCAGTTTTGCTGAGAGATAGAGTGTGTTTCTAAGAGGTGTCCAGAAGATTAAATAAGATCACTTATTATATTTCAACAGGACAATGACGACTAATCGTATTTTTTTAATTATTGGAATCCCAAACTATGGGCCGAATTATTTGTGGGAACTAAAACCTTGATGACGATAATCCAGACTACCATAAAAAATCATTTATTTAAAAAGCTTTTTAGATTTAGGCTATAATCATCTCCTTAAGTTAACTAAACTGAACAAAAGATACATTGCTAATAAGTTATTTGAAAAAAAAATCAGATTGAAAGCATTTTGGATCAACAGTCATACTGATCCGGCAACTAAACGACCATTTCTACAACTGCCAAAAGAAGGGACATTACGGCCCTCGGTGTTGAGGTATAGCCTCCTCCTATTGAGCGAATATCGATCTTAATGCTCCACGAGAGCTGCGTGCTCCGGCGGCTCTCTTTCCGGAGCGGCCATGCACTGCGACTTCATCCGTAAACTCTTCGGTATGAAGGTTCGTGAACTGTCGTGTAAAATTTCTTATGTGTAGAGCTTCTTCAGATCTTTTGCGGTCAAATTATCTAAAAGAAGCATACCAATGGCTAAAAACTCAAGTTGAAATACAAGGTAATAATTCAAGTAATTGGATTATGTAAGAATTCATTCTATAATTTTTCGGCGGTTGGACTTGAACCATTTTCGGATGCGCAAGGAAAATATTATTTGTCACAACTCACAGGTAAGAAATTTTTTTCAATATCATCGCTTCAAGGCGCGAGGGTATACATTTGCTGATTTTCTTTACAATATTCATTAGATATGAGTTGAAACACTACCTATATTTTTATTGCATGTTCGCACAATCTCAATCACGTTTTTTTTATTGACTCTCTCTATGGCTAAACCTTCTTGTCCAAATAAAAAATATGGGTTATGTGATTTTTCCTTATATTTCTTTTACCTCTTGGCGGTGCAAGGATTTTCTTACTTGGCACTTTATAGCGCATTCAAGTATTGCGTATTTATATTATTTTTTAGTTAAGCAGGTATTGCTGTATTCTATTGCATATTTTAACGACAATGTGCTAATGTTTACTAAATAAACGACAAGTGGCGAGCATAGAGAAGAATATGACTTTATTAGGTAATTATTACATGTTAACTTGACGAAGCTCCTCTTCTCATCTAATTTAGTGATCTTAATATAATTTTGTTCTTATTTGAAATATGAATGCTGAGAGTCTGTCTAAAAGTAAGAGTTATTGTAAAGATGAATGCTGTAAGTGGATCCACAAGTAAGGATCGGTATAAATGTAAGTACTTTGAGAGGGTTCAAGAGGATCTATGTAAAGAGATTGACTTCAAGCATTAGTGCTCTATTGGCCACTTCCTCTCAAGCGCCCCGAGCTGCTCACTGAGAGGCCACCTGCGCGACACCAAACTCACGCACGAACGACGCAATTGCATGTTAAGCTTTCACTACTGCTGGTCTTGCATGTTTAGCTTCTAATATTTTGCATATTTTCATTATATATCTTGTTTCTTTTTTGTACAGAATTACATTACCGTTCACCCTGTAGTCTTTTGATATATGAAAAACTGTTGGTCAAACAGATATGAGTGGCATGAGTACGCAATGCATTCACACGTTCAAACAGCCGCTCTGAGATATTTTCAATTAAATTCCTAGATAAGCCTGATTGCAACACTATTTTTCTCTTTGATATATGAAGGGAAGGGATCAGAAAATGAATGTTTGCAACCAGTTAAGTGTAAGACATTTCCAAACACCTAACATGACGCTTGCGAGAATGCAATTTTTGCCCTACAGTTGATGTTCACAAGCAGAAAATATTATTAATTTAACACCTCATGTAATTAATACTAATTTTTGGTTGGCTCTTGTTGTTATTTTATTTTTTCGCATGTTGCATGCAGGTTGCTAAGCTTTACGACGCGCCTAAGGAAGACGAGGCAACGAAAGCATGTATAACGAGCGCACGCCTTAACTCTAACGACTGCTATCCTGTGTAACTCCGCTGCTTGTCAATGTAAGTTTTATCCACTAAATCATCATTAAATGCAAACTATTTCTACTGTGCTGAATGTGAGATTCCTAGTATTTAAAAGTTTATCAGAACCATCGTGGTACATTATCATTCCGGTTCCAATTGCTCCAGACGCATTCGCCCTATGTCTTTTACGATTTAATTTAATAAACGAATCTTAAACGATTTTACCATACAAATTATCATTCAGTATGAGTTATGGTTCCATAAACATGCGTATTTCTTTGAGTTAGACTGATTTCTTGGAGCTAAATTGCGTTCTTTTAAATAACAGCCACAAATTCAGCCAACTTTGCAATAGGGGAAATAGTTTGTTACGATAAGGTGCAAATTCGAGTCTAGCATTATGTTAATTTGACAAATATCACGTGTATCTCAGCCATCAATCGATTGGTATTTTGTAAAGTTCATAATGAGATGAAAATATTTAAATTATTTAAACGGCTTTAGAACTTCGGGCAAGAAAATAAATGATATTATCCAAATAGGAAATAATTAGCTAGTAAATAAATTGTTGTGCTGTCACATTTTTATCAATGTATTGTCATATTTTTATTGCACGGAATTTACTTTGAGCCTTAACGTTATTTTAATCAATTTTTACATGAGTAACGGATCAGTGTAAAAGTTATATCATCACGATACAACGGTAATTATTAGGATAGACTGTGATATTGGAAAATTTTAAATATTGAGTAGAGCACATTGAAGAGTGAATCGTATCAATAATTTGATATGATACGAGTGATGACATTATTAAAATATAGATTTCCCTACAATCAAGCAAGAATTAATGGTGCTTTTTTTAACCACAATTTTTCGCTTATGAACATATCAACAACTTTATTCTCTATCAAAATGAAATGCCATTAGTGCAGCATCATCGTTAATTCAAGTGTTCAGTCACGAAGCAAATGTGACATCTTAACTAAAATATAACATTCCAATCGTTTGCATGTAAATGTTTCTGCTCACACTTCACTTGAACATCAACTTGTGGATTAATCAAAGCGTCCCTGCAAGTGGCAGGGAAGTGACCACTTTTCTATTTAAACGCTGAGCAACGGTGCACGCGCAGTATTTGCTATACATTTCTAACATTCAAATGTAATGGACGCAATTTGTTTAAATTTTAACCAATTAATTATCCAATGTTTATTCACAGCTAGCGATATTTTAGATTTATTTTGTAATTAAATTAATCCATAATAACATTCAAGTTATTTAGTTTACTTTATTCAGCAAGGAGACCTAAAGTCAAACTTTTATGTCCACACCAACTTGCTCATGTCAAAAAATTTACTTTCACTTATTTTTTTACTCATAATAAATTCAATAATAAGATCAAGAATTTGAAATTTTCTCAGCTTTGATTTTTCACTTTGCTAAACAAAAATTTATCATAAAACATTTTTTCAGGTTCTGGAAAATCCTGGTCCCGCGAAGCCTCAAAGGAAGCAGTCAACGCCTGACGACACATGGAGAACTTCCAGAGCTTGTCGAGACTTGAGGCCTTGTGCTTCGACGGCTCAAAGTCCGCAAAGTCCTTTATCCCAAGACCAGCCGGTGCTGAGTCACTCGGTAAGCCAGCCTTTAAGTCAGGCGTACATTCAAACCCAGAACGGCTTGAAGTTGAGTAACACTCCTCCTCACAAGCTCCAGCTTGAGACGTCATTCACGTGTTCTCCGGTCACGTCACCGAACCAGAGACCCGACCTGAGGGTGCATGCCCTAGCACACGCTCTCTCCTGGGAACTTGTGTCTGCTCTGGAAGAACAGCTGCTTGCGTCTGGATTCCCAGCGGGGTACCAAATAGGTTGCCCTGAACTGCCTAGTGGTCCCTGGACCGGCCATGCTCCACTGGCGTCACCTGAAACCCTAAGTGACGCATCCAGTATATCCTCGAGGTTATCCGTTGCTCTTAAGGAAATATGGAATAACAATAGCAAGACTCCGTCACCACCCACGTCCCTAACAGGGTCTAAATCAAAACAGGTCGATGGGGCTATGATGACAGTGGTCAATGAAGATAGTTCGCTTCCTCTGGTAACTAGTAGTCCGAAAATTGCTCCAAAGACTAAGTCTGCGCCTTTAGGCCAAGGCTACTGTTTTTATATTGACGCTCCTCCGAGTCACGAGTCTGACGTAAATATGGTTCATCCTCCCCTTGCAACCCCAACACCAGATCAGGTGAGAAGATTTTCTCCTTCTCCCCCACCCCAGTACATTTCCATTAGCCCCATTTTGCCGAGTTATTGTGATAAAGCAGACACCAAGGAACAAGACAAAATCAAAGAAACTCTTGATGAACTTTTCAGAAGCATTGATAAACCGCCGTTTGTGATAGATCTCGAGGACGAGCGAAACCCTCACGAAATGTTGACACCCACAAGCATGACGCACAGCAAAGAAATGCAGAGCGATCAATTTGATTGCAGTTCTGTTGAAGGATTTTTGGATGACGATGTTAAGATCTATGGAAGTAGAGGATCGTCACTGAGCCTAACGAGAGGCAAGACGGAATCGCAAGATTTGACTACGTCTGTCATGTCCCGAGATTCTGGATACGTCGAGAGAGGAACAAGCGGCCGCCAGAGTAACGGTACCCTCGCGGACGGGACAGAAGAAAGCGAGGTGGGCGTCGGCGAGGTTCTTTTGGAATTCAAGACATGGGGAGATACTCAGCAGGAATACGGTCGTGGCAGTGGGCCACCAAACTTGCCTCATTACGCTTACAATGGAACATCTCAGGAACATTTGGCCGCTGACCATGACCCAGACGATTCTGTAACCTTCTGTGAAAATGAGATAGCAATAAATCAAAAAATTGACACCCGTGACCATCCACACAACGGGGAAACTCCTTTACTTCACGCTATTAAAAACAAGAGAAAAGATGTAGAAACAAGTCTTTAAGTTATAGTGGGTGAGCATTTTGCCTCCATGACCTTAGAATAGATCCGTAGCCAAATACATGCCAAGTTTTTTGTACCTCGTGTGAAATGCTCAAATGTGCCACTAAAGTGTTCCCAATTCGATCTTCCTACCACAAATCCTGTTTGCACCTGAACTTAGGTGTCTTGTATCCTTCTTGCATTCTATATCATATTCTTGCTATGGTATAATAAGCTTCATTGCTTAGACCTGTCTGTATTGAATGCTCTCGTACGTCTTTGTTTTAAATAAGAAGCAAATGAATGTTGAATTGACAACATTGCCACAATATTATCCATTCTCGGTTAACTAAACAATACTTTGATTCATTTTGCCGACATGAATGAATGCCCATTGGAAAGTTGGGAAATACTATTAAACTTTATTTTAATTTAACAAAGCGCATGAAAATCAAGGAGTTACTAGATTATTACTCGAAAATAGGGAATACGCACATACAATTATTTTATAGCATGATTTTGTCATTGGAAATATAAATTGATATCTTGTAGAGGGACAGTGAGATTACTAACATGTGGTCTAAATTTTGTAAAGGAATTTTATTCTTTAACTTCCAATAACCTAAAATAACCGAAATCAAGACCATTTCATTTAAATTTTCATGGATATCATACATATTCCAGTCATTAGGTAGGAAAACACTTCACCGAATTCGGCCTATACTTTCAACGATTCCTGCTGTCTTTCTTGACGGCCTTTTCCCAGTGATCTATGAGGAATTTGGATGTTAATTAGTAATTATTCATCTGTATTTGGCGTCTAGACATGTTGGCTTCCTAAAAATCATGGGATGAAACTTGAAAGATAAATTCGATTCAAGGGTGGAAACTTTAAGTTCAGAGTGAGGTTAAAACAATCGAAAGTTCTACCTTCATGTACAACAGCTTTAACATTTCTGGCGTTTCAAAGAATGTAAAGATATGTTAGTCGAATAATAAATTTTTGTGCGTATGTGTGACAGTAGCCACCCTGACGACAGATTTTTTTGTAAACATTTATTAATCTACAACGTCTGCACTACAAACGAATGCAATTTAATAATATGCGTTTAAAAATTCCTTTTTAAGACAACACTTCTAAAGAGGCCAGTGTCTCCGATGTTACACACGTATAGTGAATTTATTTTATTTTAAATATTTGAAGAAAAATTGTTCAATTTTTTCTTAACATGTAAAATTTTTTTAATTTTTAAAATAATTTATTCTATAAATTTTTTGATGCATTGTCTCCGACTTTACGCTAGTGCGCAAAATTTCAGATCGATTGGACAGGTAGAAATGTGTTAAATATCGAATATAAGATTTGTAGCAGACAAACAAACAAACAGCAAGAAGTCAAGTTAAATAGAAGTGAAATAACAAGTAAATAACAATAGTTTTCTATTAAGTATAAGAGTATTGGAAGTATGTCGAAGGCGATGGAAGATAACGCCGAAGTTAATAGCTTTAAAAATTTTTAAGTTGCTGCACTCCAAAGTATACTCCTGATCTAAATGCCGTTGCTGTCTCTCGTTGCTCTATAATGCAATTATTTTGAAGAATGCTTACTGTTTGGTAGAGTGTTTTAAGGCCCGCTGTATAACTGAAACATTATCCGTAACCTATACCGTATATACTATGAACCAAAGTAAACTAAAAGTAATATTAAATACCTACCTTTTAGCTCGCATAAATGATATGAATTAAGATGCTGTAACATGGCCATTTCGTTTCATAAGAATGCAGAGAAAAATGATCACTTTAGTTAGTTTAAATTTTTTTTATCTTTTTGCACTTCTTTCAATTTCGCTCGAACCCAATAGAATTTGAATGACTTTGCAGCCTTTCCCTATTCATCATTCACTTTCGTAGCAATTTTATTTTTTTTGTTTCCTGCCAAACCAATTAATCGTCAGAAGTTTTTATTATTACCGCCTTGTATTTCACTAATTCTGCAGATCAGGCGGTCTGCGCGGTGCTAATATTGCAGTAAATATATCACTGGGCCTTGTCATCAATATACTTACTATAACACAATTCAATTTCACGATTTCAAGCGGCTTGTACTGTTATTCTGTTACCTATTATCCTTAACTGTCGATTAGTTTAGCCTGTGAGTAATTGATGAGTCCCTATGTGCGTGAGTTATAAAATATTGTGAGTGCTATACGTAGTACAGGGTGACCCCCAAAAAAAGGTGCTAAAAGTAAAGGCTTATAACTCGAAAAGTATTAAATGTGGAATGATGAAATAAAGAAAACACATGAAAGAGTATAACTTCAAGTTTTGTTCAGATTACAATAATTGTTCATAATGACCTCCTCGCTGTTGAATACACAGCACAATTGATACGTTTTTAAAAATTGCGGTTACTGCAGACAAGGAATCCTGGGCCTATACTTTCAAAAAAAGTTAAGAGATCATAAGTTCATCAGCCAATCATTGACGGCCTTTCAAGCAAAATCCACCAATCGTAGACAAGAAAATAGAGCGTAAATACTTACGTTCACTTAGCGAATTTTGAAAGTATAGGCCCTGGTCGAGAGCTTATTTATGGTGCGAGAGCTTCACGAATTGCTATCTTCTGATTGTCAATGCTGCTTGGTCTTGTACTGAATTCTTTTTCTTTCACGTAACTCTATAGGAAGAAATTTAAAGGCAATTCACTAATTCTTTCTTCAATCATGGCAATGTTTTCTTCTGATCTTCCCGTTCTTCGCCGTCCAGAATGACATTTGTTTTGATTCAGGATCGTTCCTTTATCTTTCCATTGACGTATCCACTTCTTGATTGTGTTGAGACTAACTTCTTGTCTGTATTTGGTGAATTAACCTCTCTTTATTTTGGTTGGTGAAGTTTTCAGGTAAAATTGTTTGACAATGAAAACTCGTTGCTCAGAATTTAGCTGATGGTAGGGGGAATCTTGATCTTAAAAAAATAATGAGTTTAAACGATGAAATATTTAGAGAACTCTGGTAACATGGATACCAAATAAAACTTGAAGTTATATACTTTTATCTGCCTATTATTTCATCTTTCTACGTTTAGTACGTTTAGAATTAAAAGCCTTTACTTTTAGCAAATTTTTTTTGATCACCCTGTATTACAAACCGAAAACTTTGTGTTCATAATAAAAAATAAGAAAAGTTATTGTTTTTTCTGTATTTCCCGCGTAATTTTGAACTTCGTTGGTTATTATTTTTATTGGAACAGGTCGACTATTTCGAATTATTTCCATTGCCACGGACCTATGTGATTCGTGCTTGAATAAAAATTTGGACTAACAACCAATAAAAATTTAGCGACAAATTCGCGAGATTTTATTCCGTGATATCACCTATTTTATTACATCAATTCCACATATCATCTAAACTGTGCTGCAACTGCACAGAAGAGCCTTCCTAAAAGTATTATAATAACAGCATTTACATATTTTTTCGTCTGCGGAGTCAATGACACAAAATTTGAATGTATTCTAGTTCGAAGGGATCAGAAGCGAAAATGAATATGAAAAATGGCCTTTGTACTTTAAAATTAGACATTAAATCAAAACTTGAGCTGAATTCTTTTAATGCAGACTGGATTTTCCTATAGATGTTGATATAATTGATTTATTTCTTATATTTTTTTCTGAAATGGGGTTCGAAAGTTTTTATGGGAATAGCACTCATCGAATTATGGTGTAGAAAAAACCACGAGTGACCGTCTCTCATGGTCACATTTGTGCCCATCGATCACAGACGCGTCACATTTGTGCCCATCGATCAATGACGGTCCACTGTCAAAAGATTTGACAGTGGACCAATCGTTAAACAGTACGTCAATTACATTAATTGACCAAATAGAATTCCACCATCTTTGAAAATTTAAAGTAATAAATGAAATTTGTGTATTTTAGCTTGTTAAATTAGTTTATTTGCACGATAATTTCGGATAAAGCCATCTGCATGGGGAGAAATCGTATTGGTAGGCCAGACTTGCGGATGAACTGTCGACTATCTGCGACACTCATCTTATGCTGCGCTGTTGATAATATTTTCTACGCAACAGCTGAGAGAAAATTCATTAATTCGCCAATAATGTTTTTCAGAAAACGATCAAGATCTTTTTAAGGGTAACTTTGAAACATGAGAGATAATTTCACTTTTTTTCTCTAGCGTAATTTGTTTTGAACTTTGAATCATTATTATGAATGCATATGTTAACTAGAAACTCGAGCGCGACATCAACAGGAACCATCGTTACAAATGCATGCTTCTTCCTGGCAGGTGAAAATGCATGGCTCAATTTCAGCATCGTCAATTCATGGTCACTAAAGTAAATAATTAGAACGCGACAAGATTTGTTTTTTAAAAGGTGGTGTAAAAATTTTTAAAGTAAAATAGGCCTTATACGAAGGAAAATATTTACTTTTGAATTCTTGTTATGTTAGTAGAATGTCTGAATGATAAGACGACCCTGGCTCAGAATGCATCACTCAGTTCAATGTCATCATCATGTCGAACTTATTCAATTGTCCAATTTTTTATGACATATGGCCATGCATTCTTAAGAATTTAATTGGCCATTGAAAAAACTGGCTTACTAAGAAACTAAAGCAATCAATATATACCCGCTTTTAATACAGCAACTTTGCTGCATGGTCTTCTGATTCTAATTACCGTTATCAAATATTTCAACCAACATTGGTCAAAACGACCTTGCTGCCATTTGTTCTTGTTAATTAAATAGAATATTGATTATTATCTTATTAGAATGTGGAACATAATAATGTGATACCTCAGCAATCCTCTTTGAGTTTATGATGAAATTCTGTAGTGATGCCGCTATGTGCCTGCAAATTTTGATTATTTTCTCTCATTAATGATTTGCTTAATGAACTTTAAAGACGAGCGTTAAAATTTAAATTCCTGGCTGGCTGAATTTAAACTTGTATCAGATGCAATACTAAATTCCATCACGTAGGCAATATTACATTCCATCAAGTTGGCAATATTACATTCCATCACGTAGGCAATATTACATTCCATTACGTTGGCAATATTCTAGAGAATATATCCCATCAATATTCTCAATATTCTAATGAGTTACAGGAAGGCTCGCAGTTTCGTTGCGTGCACCGTTACAGGATCTAATTAGTTGACCAGGAAGCGAATTTTCGCCACGAATGCTTCGATGCTTCGTCCCAAGGATATTGTTGCTTTAATAGAGCCCAGCAAGGGCAAGCCGCTACTCTGATGCCTTCGTTGTTAAAATGTCGGTAGCGACGCCCACTTTTTCTGACGCGGCGCATGATGCAAGCTGCGTTCTTAATATACGGAAATATGCATAAGAAAAAATAAACTCTGGATCGTATGGCCCGTAAGTAAAAAAATATAACTCAGTACTCATTGCAATGAGTGACAGAGAGCGCATTTTTTCGTCGACGAAATCATTAAGTCACGGACTTACAGACAGACGGACAGCGAGCACAATGGCGAGCACAATAGTGCATTTTTTCATGAATGAGAAAATGCGCTAAAAATGGTGATTCGGATAGCGATTAAAAACTATAACGCGGGTCTGCTTGCTGCCTGCATAGTAAATTAGCGACATTTCTCAAGAATTTGCGATTGCAATAAATTCCTGAATTCTTGTGAATTGAATTCCTGCAAATATTATTTCACGCGAGCTAAAAATGATGAGTTCTGAAGAAAGCTTTACTAAAGACAAATGGAAATAATGTACCCAATCGATTGGTTTATTTATTTTTTTAATGATTAAAATTTACAAGTGCCCAAGGGTACAAGTGTTCAGGTGCCCAATTAATTAGATTGTAGGATTGGTTGCTAAAAATGCCTTAATGGTGACTTATTGGAAGCAATGGTTATTTGTTGAGAATGTCATATATTATAACAGCAGAATAAATACATCGCATTATTTTGGGCAAAAATTCTGTGCATAGAGAACGCGTTGAAAATTAAATGCCAGCTACACGCCACAAATTAAATTCAATCAATATTGAAAATTAAAAAAATTATTTCTGTTCCGAAAATAGCGTGGTAGTAATTTTGATTTTGATATTACATGTACTTGTATTTTTTACCATATCCAAATGCAACAGCCTTAGGAGTCGATCAGATTTGATATGTGCCTGTACAAATTATTACTATATAAATACCGCAGTCTGCTAGACAATCTTCCAAATCTTCTGGATTAGAAAAGTTTTAATTTCATATTGAAATCCTTGAATAGTCGGCAAATAATTTTATTTTCATGGAAAGTGTGATTGAACCTGTACAAGTTTCTACAAAGCGAAAGGATGAACAAAAACACAGGGCAGAAAATTTTCACTTTAATGTCACTGAGCAATGAATTCCAATAAATTAATATCAGAACTCGGGCAAAAGGTGAAACATTTTCTAGCTTTAAGGATGACAGTTTGACGTAGGACAACCAGTACTCCTCTTGTTCTCGCCCCAACATTGCGCATTAAACATCGTGCGCGCCGCAGACTCGCCGTGTAAACAGCGAATGTTCGGCTACTGCAATTTTAAGTGCGCAAAAGCTAGGCTCAAGAACTGAGAGGCTACACTGCGGTGGAAGTAACTGCCATCGCAAACAATACGCTATAATATGACAGGAATATTTGATCACAGAAAAAGGAATATTTATGTACAATGATACTCCAGCAAGCGCCCTTGGCATAACAGAATAAATCTTAGTAGACTCAATGACCTCACAGGCATTCCAAGATTGATGAAGTCAACGATTTTGATTGATGTCAGTTAACAGCCGAAAATTATTTGAAACGAGCCGGGAAATCCTGCCAATTTTCCAACAGATTGGCGCCAATGGAAAAGCCATGCTGAGATCACAGTCTTTTTTACTCTGTACAATTTCTATAAAGTCTAATGATTGGAGTTAATCGAAGAGTTCGGTGACCTCGTTGCCGAAGCCGTCAAGGATGTCGACCTCCTGGCCGAACTGGTTGGTGATGGCGACTTCTCCGTCGACATCGACACGCTGAAGGAATGTAACGCAGCGTTATTAAACCGTGATTTAGAAAATAATTTTTTCTAAGTTGAGAAACAATTCAACATCGAGTGTAGCAACATTGACATGCATTTCTTTATTTCTATGAATTTTTACGGACATGCCGGAAGTTTGGTTAAGATAATTTCTGTATATCAGGGAATGTAATTTTCAATTGAGGTTCAATTTTCATATTGTACCGACTTCATTACTCTATGTTCAGGCCGCATTAGATAGAATTTTTAAACAATAACAAGTTAATTAAATGAACAAAAACTTACGACGAGAGCGCCGGGAACGCTGTTAACGAGGGCGAGGGCTCGACGCATCAGGAAGGGGTTTACGGGGATGGCCCAGGGGTTGTTGAGGCCCATGCCGTACGCCCTCGGTCCCCACGGGTTGCCGGGGTTGCCAGTGGCCCCAGCTGCAGGGGCACCGGCAGCTGGAGCAGCTGGAGCAGCGGGAGCTCCCAACTGTGCAACAGCTACACCGACCAAAAGTGCGAATACCACCTGCAAAAAATGTGGAATATTGCAACGTGAACGGGTGTGTTTTGCGGTTAACTTTTTAATAATTAGCACGTGAAAGAAAGGCATTAGCGAATAAAGAAAGTTGGTAGGAGATAAACAGACAAACTAGGCGATAAAGTTTTATGTCACCTGGAAAGAACTAAAAAGATACTTTTAGTTCTTTTTTTTTTTGAAAATAGTGAAACAATATTAAACATTATTAAAAATAACTAACATGTTTAATATGTTGAGATAATTACCGAACAGAAATTCAAATACACAATATTGGGTGCAGCAAACTAGGCAACTTCACAACAGAACTTGCCTAGTCCAACCGAAAGTGAAACCGTAAAAAACGTTCAAAGGAGAAAACAGTTTTTCGGAATGCAAAAAGTGAAAAAGTGTAATGAAAATGAAAGCATAGAAGTTTAGAGCGAAAAATACGTCAATTGCTTACACGCCATAAGATTTCAGCTAGGCTGCAAAATGAGAGTGGAATTATACTCTAAAGTAGCAATGCAGGCTAAACTTTGACCTTAGTTAACTAACTCAGCCCAGCATGTTCGGGGTTCGGCTGTTAGCATAAACTGGGAAAAAATTACTACTTGTCTGTGTTTATAACTGCAACATCTTAGTTATAAGCTATGTGTAAGAAATAATTTAGAAGTTATTTATTGTAAGTTGTGTCGTGGAAATTCATGATAAGTTTTGGCATGGAAATTAATTATAAGTTGTATCGTGGAACGTTGATGTTTTTGTTGAATTTTAAATTATCTCAAGACAATATATTGCAGGTCTACGCACGACCGGAAAAACGTGTTTTTATCGATTACTTCTTATAATCTCATGCTCATTCAGACGTTTGTCACTGAATTTGTTCCCACTGCTTGAGATTGAGGGTTGGTTGCGTGTATATATAGTAAATTGATAAACATATATTTCATGATGAATTTTCAGCATACAAATTTTCGATTGAAAAAAGAAACGCTACCATTTATATTTCAACCGAATATTCTAAATAAGTATCCACTAATCAAATAAGGTGAATAGCATCATCGAATGAGAGGCCTCCCTAGAACTGATGACATTGTTCACTATACTCACAGCAGTCTTCATGATGTTTAGGATTGTGTGTTCGTAGAACAGTTCTAAGAGATACTCGTAGATTGACCGCTAGTTGTCCAGTGATCCTCTTCCCCACAGCTTCTGCTTATATAGGCCTTGGGTTCGAGGGTGCCTGCTGGATGCCACAAGCCTCCAGACGCTGACATTTTAGGCTCATGGATAGTCGGGTGCAGCATAAAAAAGCCTGTCCATGCCATGCCCACTGTTCAACCTTGCGCAAGATTATTGCTCAACTATCATCCAAATTCCATGAGCCCAGACAGCGCTGCCTAGGGAAATAGAATGCAAACTGTAAAAACAAGGAGAATTCCGAACCATAATTAAATGATTATAGTCTATGAGTTCTTTTTTAGTGGAAAGTGATCAAACTTCAGGGTTAACTTGCTTAAGAAGATCAAGCTTAACTTTTCGCTCATCAAATTATCTCACTTTTCCTCTTGACTAGCATATTTGATTTCAAAATATCAGAAGAGGTTTGGCAACAATTTTTCACCTAAGTTTATAATTTCATTGGGTAGTAAAATAATCATAAATTATACTAGAACTAGATAACAAAGTAAATTTTATTATCAACTAATTTATATCATAAATTAATTTTTTTATAAATGCTCACAACGCTCGAATGAAATAATGTGACTCTTGGAGGTGCTAGGTCGAGACTTCCGACCTTCACTAGTGGATGAGCCACAACGCAAGAATTTCAACAAAATGAGACAGGCGCTGAGATTGCACGGATAACTGGGAGCCCTTGACGCTAAGGACGTAGTGTGGTCAGCCGTTTGAACTTGAATATTGAGCAATGCTTGGCGCTACACGAAATACGGTCCTGAATTATGCAGCGGGAAGCGGAATGCTGCCATTGTCATTGGATATTGTGGTGCACGTATTCATTTGTATTCAGGCGTACAAAATAAGTACGACTATTTAATGTCGAAACAAATTATGCGCTGCATTTCATAAGCATTATCATTATTTTATTTTTCGCATGCATGGCTGTCAGCTGGTCGGGAGCAACTGCGACTTCTGAAGTGTTTAGCACCAAAGAATGCTGTGCAGTGATCCACTTCGCGACACATGTAATATATTTATTGGACATACTTACACGTATGCTAAATAAAACATTAAATCATATCCATATGTTTGATGCATGCACGTGTTGATGTTTACCGATGAAACGGAATACTCACTACTGTTAAAAAGCAGTCGGAGAATTTTCAATAGAAATCTCAATTCAATATTAATTTAGTACATGCTCACTTAAGATTAGTTACCGAAGGTTGGTTCATATAATTTATCACTGAGTTGCGTTTCTTCCGTTGATCGGAACTGAAGATATTGTTCACTAATTGGCTTGCTTGAGAATTCAAAATCGCCGCTAATTCTATTTCTTCTAAAAAAATGAAAAAAATTCAGAAAATACATGGAAATCGATTTCATGAATTTACTTTGTAATTTAATTATTACCTCAATTTATACAATTAAAAAATTGCAGACGAACTTTGCCAAAAATATCTTATCCCGATACAAAAAATTCTGGTAAAGTTGGGGGAATTTTTCAGACTTCGAAAAATATATCAATTGTTGTAAATCATGTTAGACTCTCAAGTTTATTACAGCTTCATCACCTTCTTGACTGAAAGATAAGAATTTATGCTTGTATATTTCGTATTTCTCTTCGCTGCGGAGGACAAAAGGAGTATAACTTTATTTTATTTCAGTTCTTTATTCGATGGTGAATTGTAAATTAATAGAGCGGTGAAATTGTTCGTAAGATATTTTTTCCTTTAGATTTAATGTTTTTTTTTTTTTGCGAGGCTGTGAATTATTTTTCATGTAAAGTCGCTTCATAGAGTTGAGTGCTAAAAGTCAAATTTTCATATCATGGATGGTGCCATTTTCCAACCTCTTCTTCCAAAGTATCCTGGATTTGTCTATAATAACCACACGGGGATTTTTCTTTTGGGATCTTCCCAGAGCTTCCAGCTGACTCAATCAACTCCTGTCCAAATCATGCACGAAATATTCCTGCAAGTTCTTCAATAAAAGCGAGTGTGCAGCTGCCCTTGATCCAGAGTGTCGGTCCAGCCCGGTTGGGCGTGTTCGTATGGACCGGTTGGATTAGACCTTGACAACCAGCTGGTATCCTCCATTAATTGGTATAGAAGCATGCATGCCGCTATATTAAGATTCACTGCTTTTTACTTTCGATAAATAAGATAACCTTGGATTCATTTTCTTTAATTAATCTTGATAATTTTCCTGAATATTCTTTTGTTTACGCTAAAGCTGTGAGTCAAAAAGTGTCAAGCAAATCCTTTTTCCTTCTAACGTTTTTGCGAATTTCAGAAGATTAATACAAATTAATACGGACACTTCACCAATGCCTCAAGTTTTTTCCACAATCGAAATAAAATTTCACATAATTTCTCGGCAGGATATCCCCAGAAGTTACTTTAGAACCTGACAATGCTATGTCTCGATGTCAACGCCGACCAGGCAGTCAGGAATCGTCTTGGTGTCAGAACATTTGTTTCAACGCATAAAATCAAGTAATAATTAATAAAATCCTCTAAGGTGCCGTATACATTCGGTGTATGTTTGTAAACAATAAACTTTCTATAATAATATAAGGCAGCGGATGCAAGCATTTTATGCATGCTTTAAATTAGTCAAATTGTAGCTTCTATGTACCATACAAAATATATATCACATACTATATATGTGATAAACGAATAAATGCACTTAATACACTGTAGGTCTTTTTTTCTACAAAAATTTTAAATACTAGTGATTCTAAAGGTAAAACGAGTGTCGTCACGTTAAAAGAACTCTTCACTCTCATAACAGTCCCATTTGAGTTCCTCCCACGATCCTGCAGGATATATAATAAACAAATATGGCCGCTGATGTGAACGAACGAGAAATACGAACTCATTGTCAAGGAACACAAGATGCCATGAATAAGCTCGTCTGATAAATTTCGATAAAGGTCAAGTTCATCCAATATCTAGTCGAATCAGTTACATAAATTGAACTTAAATTTACATCGGTGATAACCAGCTGCCCTTATTCGTATTTGTTTGCAAACAATTCCAGTATTCAATGCTGGAGCTGCTGTTCAATGCAAAATCCCCATAAACAGCATTCTATAATATACACATAAGAATTATGTAACTTTGATTCGACGTATTTTAATCACAACTCGAACAATACAATGCCTGTACCGAGCTCCGATCTCAAGCATGGTTTTGGCGCATTTTCATGGAAAAACACACCGCAACATGAATTACATGCAATCAACATTGGCTGTAGGAATGTACATAATAATACTTAATTTTTTAGCTTCCGTGTTTCCCCTCGCCCCTCCTGCCATCCTTGCATTACTCTAGAGTTCACTTCACGCCCTCATTCCCTTTCCTTACTCCCAACTTTCTTGGTTCTCTCAATCATTCCCCATTATTCCCATGCTAGGAATGACTCCACATCCATCTAACGTCTTCCTTTCTCTGTCCTGACCCGAACTTAGCATTAAAATTACCAAATCCTTATCTCCATCTTGAATTTTTCATCTTCTTTTCCCATTTTATATTGCATTATCTGCTTTCACTGTTTCTTTTACTCCCCCTCCCTGCCCTACCATTTCCCATCTCATATAACAATTAAGTGCTCTCCCACTCTCCCCTCCCACTCCCCACACTCCCAACCCCACACTCCCACTCTTCCCTCCCACTCCCCACACTCCCCTCATGTCTCGGGTCCACACTCCCAGTTTTTCTGTACGCCCCACCCGCAGAGATCGAGCGAGATGTCGTATCTGTCGTGACGTTCATAAAAAATTGCTGCTGCATTAACATGCATGGTGCCGTGTCTTCCGACAGAGACGTTGTTATAGTAAAAAACTGAATTTTTTAAATTAATTTGCCTGATAATCAAATGTTCTTAAATTCTTATGCTAGTTTTTATTAGAAACACATTCTATATGAACAATAATTCATAAATGAACAAATAGTTCATTTAGTGTTGGTTGAATATTCAGCATAAGTCTGAATAAATAAATGCAGAGTAACAAGAAGTGAATCGGTTGAATATTCAAACCCAATTCAAAAATTAAACCGACATGATGAAAGCGTTTACGAGCATTTTATTGAAGTTGTAGTTTCAAAATCCCATCATTGAGTAGCAAATTACTAATTTTCGGTGCAGTAGTAGGCATCTGAACAGAGGGGCGCGAGCCAACCGACTCATGATCAGCAATTTATAATTGAATAGCTATTATTGTTCAACATATAAATGGTACTTTTAACGTAAGTGCATCCTATTTAGAAATCGTAAAGAGAGACAAAAAAATAGTGATTGTATAAATTTCCTGTGAGTTCGATGTATTGAACAATCAATCGCTTTATGCGATAAATGACGTCACTAATATGTTGACTTTTGTAAAACATTCAAATCAAACCAAAATTACAAGTATATCTGCAACTACAAATAGAAAGTAAGCCAGTTTCTTTTTAAACCACCAGCGATCATCGAACAACTTCTGTCGTGATCCACGCTTTCGACTTCGGGCCAACGCTTCGTCGAAGAGATGGAAACAAAACGAACAAAGGTCCAAGTGGAGTTAATTAATGGCATATAGATATATAGATATATAGGTCAGCTTTTCATTTAATGATTATTAATTAAGTAAAGCGTAAAAATCAAGGTAAATAATCAAATCAATGAGGCATGATGCTGAATATCATGTTGATGACCTGTTCGACAAACGCGAGAATCTGAATAAACTGGACGAGGTTACCGGAAAGAATTATGCATAGTTGTACCTTATAAATAATTATGCATAGTTGTACCTTAAAATACCGCAGACATTGTAACGGCGGCGCAAATTCCGAACAAGGACGCGTAAGCAAGCATGGCGGAAGTCTCACAGCCGCGTCAGAGGTCCTCACAATACGCAAGACAGCGTCAGAGGTCCTCACAATACGCAAGACAGCGTCAGAGGCCCTCACAATACGCAAGGCTGCGTCAGAGGCCCTCACAATACGCAAGACATTGTCAGAGGTCCTCACAATAC